GATTTAATTTCAAACGGCAGCCGAGGGCAGCTCCGCTCTCTAGGCGGCTCGGCGGGAGGAGCGGCAGCGCTCCAGCCCGTCTGCGGGTGGGGGGTAAAGCTGAGGGTCCTCCTCTTCCTCAGTGCGGCGTTACAGCTCCGTTGGACCTGAGGCGGGGGCGCGGCGCGAGGCTCGAGCGTGGTGGGGGGAACCCTGAGGCAGCCGCAGCCGGGAGTTTTCCGCTGGGGAGCGGGGAGGCTGTAATGGTAACGTCGGCTCTTGAGGCTTAGGATTTGGGGTTTGTTTCGCAGGTTTTTTTGGCTGTTTAGGTCGTTTCACTGGGTGCTCGCTCCGAGTGCCAGATCTTGTCCCTGGGAAGCATCTAAGAGTAGTGGGAGAGGGAGAAATGCTTCTGGAGAGATTTTTTGCGTACCCCACACTGACTTGTGCCTGCCCGCCTGTTTCATTCTCTGTGGCCCGCACGTTCCATTCACGTCAACATAAAATAATAAAGTAGGTGGTCCACTTCAAGCGTCTTAGAGAGTAATTGTAGTTGCTTTAAGCTTGTTACCAGGTGTCTCCTGCTTTTCCTGCCCCTCTTCCATCCATCGTCATTTTTCCTGGTCGTGCCAACCACTAAAAGTTATGCAGACTGTGCTTGAGCCAGGTGAAATAAGAGGAAAGGCAGGCTTTGTATTCTGAAAGCAAATTGGTATGAGTATTGCTCTTGTACTATCACTGCAGCTTAAGGGAACTGTTTCAGGAAAGAACAAGTTTAAAGAAGGCAATTAAAAAAAAAAAAGTTTCGAGTACATTGTGTCTTGACAAATGCGTGAAGGTGAAACAGACCAAAGCATGAGGTAGTCAAATTCAAAATTTTGTCAACAGAAATAAGGGAGATAATGATCTACAGAATGAAAGAAAAAAGAAGAAAAACAGACTATACAGGTAACAAAAGCATTTAAATACGTTTTTGTTAGTAAGTCTTAGAAACATTAAATCTCTTGTTTCAAATGTTCATATAGACACTGGTCTGAATGTATAGTGAATATGGATAGTACAGAAGACATTCTTTGGGGCATTCAGGCTGGCTGCTTTCAAAGACAAAAGACGTCATATTTGTGATGTTTACTCCTTCATGCTGGCATAATATACAAAGAAAGTTAGAGGTCTTCATGAAGGCATGTCATACATAAGCACGTTTAACCCCTTCGTAGTGAGGCAAGTCTCAAGATTTTCTTGGTATAGTGGGTAGAGTTTATTCTAAGAACTTGATATGCAAGAAAGTACAACACAATTTGCACAGCTCGTTGGAAGGTGAAGACGTGCACAGGCCTCGCGCAGTTACTTTATTTCTCTTAATAATTTCTGTCTTCTACTCTAGACAATGATTGCTATCCAGCAAAAAGCTTTACACTTGATCAAGTGCTTCAGAAGACAATGGCATTTATTTTCAAACTCTGAAAGGACTACAGTGTGTGGAGCTGACTGCATGCTGATGGTGTTACAGCTGTCAATGGCTGAAGTCAATAAACAGGTTAGCATTCTTTCAGTATGTTCTTGGTACATCTCAAACATGGGTCACTTAATAGACTTTTTTGCTTAGGCACTGATTTGAAATGGATGTTTTGGTCACTTCACTGTTCTAACTAAGAGTCAGATGCAGCAGGGCACTAAAATTAATACAGTTAAACATGAGGTAGAATCAGGGCTTAGAAAAAGAACTGCAGACAGATGAGAGGACCAAAGTGTTTTCAATGTATATCTGAATCATGTTATATTAAATACTAGTGTATTTTTTCTCATCAAGTAACTTCATTTTATTTCCATCAAATATTTCTTCTGTGCTGTACATCAGAATGGGGGAACTATGGCATTTGGGATGCATCTTTTTTTCTGAATGCTCTGAAGATGCTTTGGAATGACATGAGAGGAGCATGAATATAGAACTGATTTGGTGTAGGTTGTATGATTTGTGCTTAGAGCAGTCCATTCTTGGCTGCTGTTTTTCTCGAGGCTCATCAGATAAAGACCTCCACATATAAGTTGTGATCAGCAGGAAATATTTTTTGGCATGCAGACAAGAAGTGTCTGTTAAATGATGAATAGGAGATGTAACCCTTAAGTGCCTCTGCAAGAACTGGTGTGACTTGTCACAGCTGGAAGGCTGGGCATTAGCAAAATAGATTAAAACTGTTGCAATGTACAGTCAGGCCATTGCATATGTTCCATCTAATGAGAACAATTGTGATTGTCACTTTGAAAATCTAAAGATATAGTTTTAGGTCAATAAGCTTAAATATTTATGAAAACAAATTACCATTGTTGGAAGACTTACCCAAATTGTGTTGTAGATTAAAAATTTACTGCAAATCTTTAGTTTAAAAAAACCTAACCTGACAAAGAGCAAAAACAAACCAACCAAAACCAGAAAACCCTTTTCAGTTTGTGCACTCCTAGTTGCAATATGTTATTTTAAAGTTACCGCTTGTACTGGAAGAAGATTGTATCTTGGAAGATGTATGTCCAGAACCACTCTTTAACCTAACTGAATTCATGACCAGAAAAAGTTTTGTAGATGTGCAGAATGGGGGTATCTCTTTTCTAAACATTAAATATAAGAATCACCAATTCATCCTGACTGTAATATTACAGCAGAAGGTCTAGAATCGTGAGATTCTACATTTGTACTTGATAGAGTGTAATATATTACAGCTAGGATCCCACTGTCCTCACAATATCTGTGTGGGTAAAACTGGAAAACTGTTGTGCATCAAAATGACTCATAGAGATCTGATATAGGACAGGGAAAAGCTACCCATTTGTTGTGATTCTCCAGGAAGAACCACAAACATTTTTCCAAAGCCAGCTCTGGCAAGTAAAATGTGTTATTCTGTTTGATGCCAAAAATTACAGACATGATAAAGATGATTTTTTCTATAGTTCATTGCTACTTCTTTCCTAACAGTTTACAGTAACTCTTTCCTTCCCCTAGAGGTAACTAGTTTATTCCACTTTCTCCTTTTTTCTACTCCAGCAAAGATTCCTCCCCTCTAAAAGTATCTTATCTTTTTAAGATGGTCTAACAGAAATTAATGCAATTATTCTCAACTTATTTAACTTTGAGATATACTCCTTTTACTTCAAATCTGAAGAAAGATCGAGTGCTCAAAACCCATTTGTTTATTTTTGATTATCCTAGTTGGTCTGATCAGACAAATTAGCAGTATGTATTAACCCTGTCTTGCATATGTGGACTAAAGCCATTTTAGCATTTTCATGTGCTGCTTCTGAAGTTAAATGTTTTTATCGAGATGTCTGTTGTCATGTTTGTAGTGTTAGAGTAAAATATGGCTGGTTTATTTGAAACTTCAAACTAAGATGCGTAGAATTACAGCTGTAGGCATGTCCCTTAATAGGATTCAGATTTAAGTACAATAACTTTGTATTATTAACATAACACTGTAGAATAGAAGTCCATTATGATAAAGTCAATTACTGCAAGAAAAATAACTGTACTAACAGCCTATTGATTGGCAGGATTGGATAAAAAAAACAAACAAACAAAGAAAACCCACAAAAAAACCCCAAAAAAAAACCCCAAAACAAACAAAACCAATAAAAACCCAATCCAGCCTACCACAAATAACAGAACCCTATACCCTAAGAGCCTCGGAAATTTTAATAGGTTTGGTATCTTTAAGTGTAATCCATATAGGCAGTAGAAATTAAAAATAAAGCTTTTGGATAAGTCCAGAAAAGTCTAAAAATCTTATCTAGTCTCAAAGTCTAAAAGCTAGGAAAACTTTCAAGGAGAAGAACTTTTCTTAAGGCTTCACATAGAAATAATTTTCAAGTTGGAGTTCAGCTGAAGGTAATTAGTTTAGGCTGACTGCACCTGGGGATGAGGGGCTGACCATAAGGTACTAAAATAAATAATCCCTTGTCATTTTCAGACCAGGGGTGTTTTAACTAGCAGTGGGGGAAACTGTGGCATGATAAAAACAACTGTTTTTTGTGAATTTGTGAATTTAAACTCTCATACTTTTATTTTATTTCATTTAAAAATGTTTTGTAAATTTCTCTTCTAGTGCTAGGACTCTGTGACTGGAGAGAAAAGTGCTTCATTGTTGATTTTAAGGATATATTTCCCTTCAGAAATTTGTGTTTCTTTGATTATGGATGAAATAAGTTTTGGCATGTGGTATAGCTCTACTCTGTGCTTCCATAATTATGCATTTTGTAAACGGAAGAATATTCTGTTCTGTTCAGTATTCTCTTTCTTGACATTTTTTCCCAAATCTGTGTTGGCAAATAAGGAGAAAAATGCTAAGTTGTTTTACTGTGTTGCTCCTATAAACTGCTGTATCTGTCTGTCTCCCTTTTGGTAATGAGACTCTTAACTTTGTAACAATTTTGTGATGTGTTGCTTGTATCATTTTGTTGTTATGCTACTGAGAGACATTGTCTTGTCTGTTCTTCAGTAAGATTAATTTTTCACAGAATGGTTGAGGTTGGAGGGGACCTCCTGGAGGTCATCTTGTCCAACCTCCCTCCTCGAGCAGGGCCATTTGGTACCAGTTGCCCAGAATCATATCCAGATACCTCTCAAATGTCTCCAAGAATGGAGACTCCACAACCTACCTGAGCAACCTGTGCCAGATCTCAGTCGCCTTCACAATAAAAAAAGTGTTTCCTGATGTTCGGAAGGAACCTCCTGTGTTTCATTAAGTTTGTGCCTGTTGCATCTGGTCCTTCTGCTGGGCACCTTGAAGAGCCTTGCTCCATCCTCTTTGTGCCCTGTCTTCAGGGATTTATATACATTGATGAGATCCTCCCTGAGTATTCTCTTCTTCAGCCTGAACAGACCCAGCTCTCTCAGCCTTTCCCTGTATGTGAGATATTCCTGTCCCTTAATCTTCTCTGTGGGACTCTCTTTAGTATGTCACTGTGTCTTCCTTGTACTGAGGAGCCTGGAACCGGTCACAGGACTCAGATGTGGTCTCACCAGAGCTGCATAGCCTTCTCTACAAGGGACAGGCGCTTGTTTAGAAAAAAATGTTGAAGCTTTGTAGAAAAATGGTTGAAGTAATATTTCTTTTTTTCTTTAGAAGCAAATCATAGACTGTTGTACTGTCCTTCTGATACCCTGTGTAACCAAATTATAAATCGTTGTTGTTTCTTGTATTTTTGTGTTGCTTAATGGCTGAAGTTTTTTTAACTGTTAAAACTATTGCTACTTAAATTCTGAAGCATCCTATCTAGCTTATCTGTTAGGACTTTCTCATCTTCTTCCACCCTCCTTCTCTACAGTATTATAGATTCTATTTTGAGGGATGGAAGGGGAAGCAAGAATGTAGTATGGGGGATTTTTTTTGTTGTTTTTCTTTTCCTTTTTTAACTGAGACTGCTAAATTTTCTGTTTTGTTTTTTTTTTTTTTTCTGACCACTGTAGTTGATAGTATTGACTTTAGAAAGTGATAGTTTGTTGCTTGGATAAGTACAATTTTTACTTTGTCTTGGGATCCTATTGTTGCATCTACTAACTGCTCTACTGACACAAATACTGTAGCTCTCCAGTCCTCCTTAAACACAGCATACCTCTGCTGTCCTTCATCCTGGTACTTTTACCCTTGACAACCCCCACACTCCCTACTGCTCCTTCTTCCCCCCATTCCTCACCCCTCCCTGCTCCCCCTCCCAAAAAAAGTTTAGTCTCAGTTACCCATGCAAGGTATACTGATGGTACATTGGACTTAACTTCACTGGCTTTACTTCTAGCAGATTGCAATAAAACAACTGTCAGATGCTTATGCCTATATGCTTGTGCTTATATGAAACAGTTTCTATATCTGTGCACAGAACTATCAATATTCACTGGAATGGGAAACTTATTCAAAATGCTTCTTTATGCTGCTTTAATGTGCTTTATGTGCCACAGTCTGGGAACTTGTATTTTGTACAAGAGCATAGCGACACAAGGGCTCAGCAGGAGCAGAGGCAACAAGACTGCAGAATCACACAACTTAAGGGCAATGCCAGACAGCAATACTGCAATCTAGGAGTATGCCTGAAAACAGCAGAACTAGAGACAACATCTGAGGGGTGGTTAAGCACAGCAGTCTTGAACACACATATTAAAGAAATGGTTAGTGACCATTTTTTTTGGGCAGGGGAGGAGGGAGTGTATTATTGCCAAACTACAGATCACTGTTTTTTAAAACAGTTTTCTGTCACAGTAGAAGATGCAAGCTTTCTAGGGCTAGCAAAGGAATACCTACAAAATACTGAAAAATGGTATCTTTAGGCATGAAATATTGCTACTGGATTTTAGACATTCTGAAGTAAAGAGTCCAAGGAAACTTTAACGTGCTACACTGTCAAGAAAAAAAGATGCTTTGTAATACTTAATTGGATTTATACCTATGAAACACAATACTTGTGATGTCTATTGTGGAATGAAAGTATAGAATGTTTTGAACTTCTTAAGCTATTGGCCAGTTGGCATATGCTTACTGCAAAAGACCACATTATTTTTTTAAATTCATTTTAAACCAGGGACTCTTGACAAAATGACTATAAATAATAGAATACACTGTCACAGTGAGCACATGATCATGAAGGTTAATATCTGGAATGTAATTTTTATTTGGATTAAAAATATTTTAGCAGCACTAACATAAACTTTGCTAATCTCTGCAGGTCTTTGGTGAGGAAAGGTTTTGATTTATTAGCTATCACATTGAGGTTTTATTTTAACTCGGTACTTCTGGAAGATTTTGTTTAAAAATAAAGTGAGAAAACAAGTGTGGCTTTTTTTTTTTTCTTCCAACCTACTGCTTTTTTGATCTGTTTAAATTGGGTTATAGTATGATTACATATTTACTTTTTTGAGGGTCTGAAAGAGAAAACAAGTGCTTTCTAGAAAACATATATGCCATTTTAATATTCAGGTATTCCATGGAATAACATGCAAGTTCATAGTGTTGAATTATGATAAACCATGCACAAATTAGAAGGCAAAAAGTCCTCTGTGAGTAATATGCATGAGTATTCTTTCAGTTTTGCTCATAGTCCTTGATCTAGGTAGTATCAAAGTAGCTGACTTTCAGGACTTAGGAAAGTTGTGCCAAGTATCCTAGAACCCTAAGGAGGGGGATCTTTTAGCCTGAAACAACTTAATTTGCACCTTATGTGTTCTTGTATTTATCTTTGTATTTAGTTGCTAGTGGTATTAATAGGTAGTGATTTTATCCAGATTAAAGTTGCTTAATGTGGAAATATAATGAAATAAAAAACTCCTGTCTCGTGCAAAGATATCTCTGCCATTGACGAAGCAAAAAAAAAAGGCTTTTTTTCCCTGCTTGACGTTTTAGAAACCAGTAGTATGAACTCTGTTTCTCTAGTGAAAACTGGAAAATTTACTGTAGCTATAAAATTACTTTTATATTCTGATATCTAACTTGAGTAGAACCACCTCAGCTGAAGAAGTTGAACAGCATGATGTGGGGATTGGGGTGGAGGTCCAAGAGCAGGGTGTGGTTGAAATTGTGGAGTCTACTTGGGAAGTTGGCATCAGGAGGATGTAGAGTATGGTATTATGGAAAGGTCTCCAGCAAACATGGCTATGAGAAAGCAGATATTGTGATGAACATTGGATAAGACATAGATTTGGGAGCAAGGTGAAAATGAACACAGAATATAATAAGGTATGGGTGTGCAGGGAGATAAGCAATTCCTAGCTGGAATTTTGGAAAGGCAGAGAACAGTACAGGAGTAGAAATCCAGGGTCTGTGGTCCAGAGATCAAAACAAGGTTAACAAGTAATTAGTGAATAAAGGACCAAATTCTGAATTAGAGGCCAGAAATACATATGTAATCCTGCATCCCAAACCTGCCTTTTGTCTCTGTACCTTTAGCTCAATCTAATTAGTAGTAGACTTATCTGCTGTGCTGCATTTTCACTCATACATGTAGCATCTTAATGCATTTCTTTCTTTGTGTGCATAGCTTGGCTTACAGGGATTGAAAATTATTTTCTGGCTTCCTCAGTGTTGCAGTCTGTAACCACTGATAATACACTTGTCTCCTTTATTGGCAGCCGCAAGAGACAGGCTCAGTTTTCTTGCAGTTCCTTGTACTCACACGCTGAACAGGAAACCTTACTTGAGTCACAAACCAAGTGATGTGTAACAGGGCTTTGTTGCTTACTCTGCTTGTTTTTTAAATTTCTGTGAATTCCAAATCCTCTATCTGTTCTTATCTGCTGTGGCACTTTCATCTTTTTGTTTGCCATTTGTATCCTGCTGCTTTACTTGTAACTTCCAACCATGCAACTTTCCTAACAACTTTGGTGCCTTAGTTACTACTGCTTCATAAGTGAGATTAAATGTAGTATTGTGGACTACATATGGTCTCTCCCATTCTTAGTCTGCTCTTCTCCCATCTAGAGATAACTTTTCTTAAAGTTTATTCCCTTTTTTCCTTTTAGTTTAGAACTGCACAATAAAGCTACAAATTTATTGCTTTACAATTAAGTGTTCACTCTTCTAAGAAGTGATTAGACATGATTATGTCAAGCCTCTGAAGTTACTTGTCATAAACTTTAATTTTCTGCCTAGAGTAGGAAAAAATTCTTGAGTTGCTAATAAAATGCTACTAGTTATTTCACTATCCACATATTTGTTGTCATTTATCCATTTAATTGGTTCTTTTAAATTAACTGTTATCTTCATTAATTCTGCTAATTTTATGATAAGCTATACCTTTTTTTTTTTTTTCCTTTTTGGAGGCTGGAGAGAAGGTAGAGTGGCACATGGGATGTAATCTAATAATTTTGACAGGGAGAGTGGGCCAGAAGCTGTGTGTGAGATTCTATCTTACACTGTATAGTTAATGTTATGGTACTACTAATAGATAGGTATGCATTGCTGTAATCTGCTTGTTGGATCTGTGTAGCAACACTATCAATGTTATCCTAAAATATAACTGTGTTAACTGTACTAACAAAGGAAAAAAGAGCTCTTTTTGGGGTGGGGGGAGGCATGGAATATGTTTTCCCAAATTACCTCTTGCACTAAGGTAATAGAGCTGTATTTACTGCCTTTGGGACGTGAAAGCCTGCCATGCTGAAAACTATTTCTGCAAATAAATAACTTTTTGTAAGCAGTAGTCCTGTGAAAGTCAATAAGTCTTTTCTTATTAATAGTAAGGTTCAATATACACACCTAGTATTTTAACAACCAGGAAGAAATATTACTTATAGTGAAACTCAACTGTAAAGGTGGGGTGCTAGAAGGGCTTCAACTGTAAGTAAGACTTCATTTATTATAAACTTAAATATTTAAATATTTTTTTTTTAAAAAGAAATGCAGCACGTTTTAAAGTTCTATTCATCATAGCGTTAAAAAGAAAATATAATATTTTTGCTTTTTTTCTTTCTATTAGCACCATGGAGATTTCACAGTGTCACTTAGCGATGTGTTAGAAACTTGGAAATACTTGGTACATGACAAACTGGGATTATCATATGAAAACATGAAAGAACCTGACAATTATGCTGACCTAAAAAAAGCCTATCATGCCTTTTTAGCAAGAAGTAATATGCTAGATCTAATAGACGTATGTCAGAAGTGCTACGGTCTTGGACTTGTATCTGAGGATGAAAGCATAACTCCTGTAAGTATTTTGGTTTTTTGATCTCTGATATTGTTTTGACACATTTTTGACTCTTGTTATGGATTTATGACCCTTCTAAATATACACATGAGCTTTGAATTATTCACAAGGTACTTTGGTATTGGGGAAGCAGATGAGTTTAATTACTAAATCTTTTAAAGACATCTTCAATTCACTCAATTACTTGTCTGTTGTCCTGATGGGTGGGTGGGTCCCACAGCTCTTCTATGAGTGTATCCGTCTGCCAGAAATGGAACTGAAAAATGAACAGCAGAGATTTGATAAGACTGGAACAAAGCTTAGTGATTAACACGTGTCACCGTGCTTTAGTTGTATGGTGAAATGCATTCAAATATTTTTAGTGATTATAATTTTAAAAACACCGTGCTCTTAAAAGCAAAAGCTTCCCCATCCTACATGTAGTTCCATGTTAGATTTCTCCAGAAACCAAAAGGGGTTCCACATCAGCCGCTCGGTTAACAGCTCTGTTGCGTTTATTGCAGGTCAGATGTTCTTATGACACTGAATGTGAGGCCATGCTCCAAGCTAGAGAAGTTCTAGTGTGTAGTCTACTCTCAGACTATGAAAGTCTATGAAAAATTTGATTAATCTCTATACTAGTGTATAAAAATCTAAGTACCGATTAAAATACCTTTGACGCACATGCGTTCCACATGATTTTGATTTTCTGCTCTCTAGGACATGGAAAGGTCCAAAGACGAACAATACTGATGCTGAAAAAATTGATGTATGATTTAGATGCACGTAGTCCTAATTTGTAACGAATATTAGAGAGGAGTTAATTGTCTCCTTTAACTGCCCACTCAGCACTGCAGACTTAAATTACTGTTTATTTAATCTTCTGAATTTGATGCATGTTTAATTACATGGTTACTTTAATATGAGGGAAGCTATATCAGTAACTGAACATTAATTGAGATGAAATATATTATGAATATACCATGAATTACTAGCTATAGCTAGATGATTAAAGCTGTTTACCTTTCTTCACTAGTAAGAGCAAAAAGCTCTATCAATGAAAAAGTCAACATTCAAATAGGTTGCCCACAGAGGATGTGGAATCTTACCTTTGAAGATATTAAAAACTTGGCTCAGCATCTCACTGAGCACCCTGGTCAAACTGGTCCTGCTTCAAGCATGGGTTTGTACTTGGATCTCTCTAAGTCCCTTTTAACCAAAATTGTATGATTCTGACACGTGTGCTTGTAGCCAGCTTGCCTGCTTCCTTAAGGATTCAAAGAACATACATGCAAACACTCGTGATTGTTAGGCACAGAAGGTATAATAAGGTGAACTGCAGTTCTGGAAGGGATAGAAACTGAGATTTTTTTTTTTTTGGTTTTTTTTTGGTTTTTTTTTTGTTATGGAGAACTTGGGTGTGTTAATGAGCTCTTCATAAACATGGTATAACGTATTACAAGTTCTCCAAAACATAACCAGCCCCATTTAGTGTGAATGCATTTACATAACTGCTAGAGACTTTTTTCTAAATTAATTTGAATCTTACACCTCATTTGTCTACTAAAACAGTTGTACTTTTAAAGACTGGCACCAAAAGTGCATTAACCTCAAAACACTAGCAAACTGATGGACACATAGGTTCACCAGCTTTTAATAATACTATTGCTTTCTAATAATTTTTATGTTAAAGTTTATTCAAATTTTCTTATTGAAGGTTCAGCTGATGGAGTTTATTTCTGGCATAATGAATGTACAAGAAAACAATGGTTCTGTTCTTTCTACTCCTTCAACACCAGTCAGACAGGGCCAGGAGAATGTGAAGGTAAAAATTATTTAGCTTTCGTAGTTTTCTGCATATATTCAAAGTATGAAATGCAACATGGTTTCCTTCTCCAATTATTCATGTTAAAATGTTGCTGGTCTAAAAAAACAGAACATGTGTGTTCAAACTCTATTTCATTTGAGTATACTGTAGGTGTGTGTATGGGGCTAAGTACAGAAATTTATTTTCTGGAAGACAGTCCTTTTCTGGCAGGCACTTGATGTGGACTTACTCTGCTTTGAAACACTAGGGGATACTTTTCTCTACAAATACACCATCACTCAAAGGTTACCTTGTCTCAAGAGTTAAATGATTTGCCCAGTGCTGCAAAGTCCAGTGGTAGGTGAACTAAACCTCTTCTATTGTATTAGCTCATGCTCCCCTTACATACAAAAGAAATCTGAACAGCCAGTCTACTGGTAGCTGTTTCAAAGCAAACAAGGTTTGTCTGTCCCAGTAGAGGACTTTCTGACTTTCTGGGAATACTGGATTCTTTCCTTTTATACTTTCAACCCCCAAACCAAGAATCTTGGAATACTACACAACAATGTTTGAAATGCTGTAGCTTTAGTAATTTCCAAACTTGTTTTTCTTATAAGTGGCAATTTTGATTAAGCATTGGCATGCAACCCAAAATATTTCTAAAGAAGAAAATATTTTTTGAACTCCCTGAGGTAGCCCTTCTGCCACTACTGTAACAGCTTTCTTGCTGCTCTGACTTGTGTGGTAAAAATATTGCTTGCTCTTTTTTCTCTTAATTGCAACTCCGCAGACTGTCACACATACATGTTTGGGTTTCTCTACTGCATACGTTTTTGTGGTATACATCCCATTGAGTAAGAAGAGATTCTGTAACAAATACAGATTTTTCTCTTTATCTTTCCTTTTGTTAATGACCCTGTTTTAGTCTTTTCTTTGCTTGCAACAAAACTCGATTCTTCAATTCTGGGACTATTCTTACAGGGCCCAGTGCTGCGAGGTAAGCAATTACAAAGTTATGTTTTAATTATGTATGTGGGTGGAGATGGGTCACAATTTGTCCTGACTCAATCAGTGGATTTTCTGTGATTGAGAACCCCTAGGAACCAAGGGAAAAATTACTGAATCTGGTGCAAAGCTGGTGATTTTTAAAAAAATCTTAGCCTATTTGAAGTTAATGACAAATAGTTTTGTGGTTCAACAGTACCTTGGGGTAGAAAAAGAATATCTGTGAAGAGGTTTCTAAGTAGAAACTGATAACCAATTTCAATCCTCAAGATCCAGTCTTCACATATTTTGTGAAAATTAAAGTACAATATACACAATATGAACACTTTAATCATGCTTGCTTTTGTCAATATTTCCAGTATCCCCATACAAAAATTAGCATTTTGAAGTTATGCAACGTGAAATTCCTTCTCTTCCAAAAATTGTATCAGGACATATCTAATTAGCTTTAAAAAAGTGGAACACGATTTAGCAGTAGGATGACTAATTTGTGTGATGCTTTCTTATACAGGTGGCAGTCCTGGCAAAGAAATGTGTGTGTTCATATTTAAGTCTGTTGGTGAATTCTAAGGATGATCTGGCATTGGCTCATATTCTAAATGTTCCTGACAGAGGATTTGATAGAGAAGCCTTCACCAACCTAAAACATGCCTCACAGGAAAGAAAAATGTCCATTTTCCTGGTATGTGTGTCAAACAAAACTTTCTATAAATTGGAGGCAATGAAATAGGTCTGTAAATGTAAAGTGTTGCTTTAGTCTCATATGCAAGACTGACATTTGCAAGCCAAGTCAAATACCACCATAAACGCAGTTTCTAGGTTAAAAAGACATAACAGGGATTCTATGTGAAGAAATGGGTGCTTGCTTGGTCATGAGATCTGAAGATGCACAGAAGAATTATTGCATGTGTGTGTACCTCTAGAGCTCTAAAATGTGATGTCATAAAACCAGGCATTGAGACTGTTCATTCCAAGCAGTGACTGAAATCCTGAAAAACTTTATCTTAAACATGAATATAAGAGCTGCTTTTTTCATTGCTTTTAAAATTTTGAAGTCTTGGTCAACAGTGCAAAATGAGGTCTTGAATATGCATATCAAAGAAAAAAAGACCAAGGAAGAAAAGACAGTATTAGACTAGATGTTGCTGCCTACCAAATACTTCTAAAAGCAATTGTGGTGGATTAACCCTGGCTAGATGCCAAGTGGACAGGGGAGATAAAAAGCTCATATTTCAAGGTAAGGACAGAGATAGGTCTTTCAGCAATTACTGTCATGGGTGAAACAGACTTGACTTGGGGAAAAATTGATTTATTACCAACCAAATTGAAGTAACATAAAGAGAAATATAAACCAATACTTAAAACATCTTCCTCCAACCCCTCCATTCTTCCTGGGCTTAACTTCACTCCTGATTTTCTCTGCCTTCTCTCCTCTCAGCAGTACAGGGGCACAGGGAATGGCAATTGGGGTCCATTCATCACTGCTGCGGTTTGGTGTCAGGGCCACCCCCAGAACTGTAACAGATGTTCTCTATTAACCCCCTCAGCTACCCCTGAAAG